AATCCAGACCGTCTGCCTCAGGGTCTGCTATTTACATTTATTATCAGCCATTTGTTACTTACATTTTTAACTTAAAGAAAATTAAAATATGTATGTTATTATTAACATGCATCAACAACTTGTGCTACCTTGCTGGTTCTTTCCTCTGAGAGCATGTAATGTTTTAATCCTGCCATTAGAAGACCATGGAACAGGAGGACTCAGTGAGTTCCATGCCCAGGAGATACTTGATAGGTTTTTAGGAAAGAAAGAGAACACATTTCTCAGGCTTTATACTTCAAAAAATACTATGAGATCTTCTTGTGTTTATTACTTTGGAATATTTCTGATGAGGAATAGAGAAAGTCTACTTTCAGTACCCCATATGAGAGAAAATTATTCTGGGTAGTGGTGGGGAATGTCATCACTGTCGATCTTCTTTATTTTTAAAAACAGAGATACTGATGCCCTGATGATCATGAAGGTCATATTCATGGAGCTTGAACATGGATGCACCCTTCTGGTCTGGGTCTTACTCTTCCATTCCCAGTGGAGAGTCTCAAGTTTAACTCCTACTTGTGATAAATTTCAAGGATTATGACCTAACCAACAAAAGGCCAGAAAACATGTAGAAGAAGGTCTGTTCCTTATTATCCTGAGTAAACAACAACAACAACAAAAACACATTTTGTTGAAAATGTTTCCTGAATGAGTTCCACCTCAGGAATTTCTGAACTTGTTACTCTCATTATGAAAACAGTTCATGTACTGGGGACCTGGCAAAAAAAAAAATCTTCTCTGAATTTTGGCTTAAAATGTTCATTAATTAATGGCACCAATTAATAATAGTCAATGCCTATTCATTACCAAAAGCAAAGCTAGAACGAAAGCTATTAAATAGTAAAGCCTGACATAGGACAGGCAACCTCTAGTATGCATTCTGCCATGTTTATAGACAATCACAAACATTTCTTTTTTTAATTAAACTTTTTATTTGGTATTGGAGAATAGCTGATTAACAATGTTGTGATAGTTTCGGGTAGACAGCAAAGGGACTCAGCCATACATAAAGATGTACCCATTCTCCCCTGAACTCCCCTCCCCTCCAGGCTGCCATTTAACTTTGAGCAGAGTTCCCTGTGCGATACAGGAGATCCTTGCTGGTTATCTATTTTAAATGAGTAGTGAGCCACAACCCCATTTTTGATGATACCTCTTTCTCCTGGCTATTTTGCTTCTGCCTCTTTTGCTGTATTCCTTCCTTTTTCCTGCATCCCCCTTTCCTTGCCTACCTCTTATTTTATTATCACTTCTCTTTACAATCACCTTACCACATTATTTCCTTTGCTTTTCTTTTTCTCCATCTAGAAACCTGCTAGTGGTACCCAGTCTCTAATTAAGTCTGATTATGGGCTATTAACTCTTTCTGTGCCTTGAGACTCATCAAGATTAAACAGAATGCTGAGCCTTCCTCTGGAATAACTGACAACTCAATAATCATTATCTGACATTTTTCTCTATCTCACCCACAAAACCCATCCACAGTGTGAAGGGTTCAAGGCAATTGGAAGGAGACATTAAGACTTATTTTTCACTCTGTAGCAAACCCTGTGCCATCCATCTCAGAAACACAACCATATTAGATCCAGATAACACAATTCCTACGTTCAACAGATGAAGAAACAGAAGCGTTGAGAGCTGTTAAAGCCCATGGAGCAGGGATGACCAAGGTCAGCCTGGCTCCAACCTGTGTAGAGCTATTTCCTTCATCCCCTCACTGCCTCTGGCTCTATGGTCATCCTTAAATAAATTCTGATTGGATTCCAACCTCAAATTTAGATTCCATGAAGAGAATATTCATGGAAAACCTTAGCGTTCCCACAATCTGAACTGTGGCAAGACACTAGTCTTCGATAAACAGATTCAATTGTACCACTTCTTCCGATTTCAGAATAAATTCCTTCTAGTAAGAGTCTGAAGGCGTAAACTCTGACATTTTCTTTGTAGCTATGCATATGTTGGGTTTCCCTGGTGGCTCAGATGGTAAAGAGTCTGCCTGCAGTGCAGGAGACCGGGTTCGATCCCTGGGTCGGGAAGATCCCCCAGAGAAGGAATTGGCAAACCACTCCAGTACTCTTGTCTGGAAAATCCCATGGATGGAGGAGCCTGGCAGGCTACAGGCATATGTTGGACACAAATTATTTATGGGAGTTAAAATGAACCTTCACTGCAATGAGAGTTTTTTTTTTTTAATTTGCCATGATACAATACTAAACTCCCAACAGGTTGCAATTAAGGACATACACACCCACAAATGAAATGTCATAGAAATTACAAACATTTAGAGCTGGCAGGTTCCTCTCAGATCTCTGGAAAGGTAAACCTGTATCTTTTTTTCTCCCACATAAAACCATGTCTTTCACCTTTCACCATGACATAAGCACTATTATATTCAAATTGCACTTTTGTCTATTCATTTCATCTTGACAACAAATATCTTGGAGAGAGCTATAGGAAAATGTTGAAATGATTGATATTGTATTTGCTATCCAAAGCACAAATCAAATTATCTCCAACAGTACTCAAATCCCTTTTTCATCCGAAACACAGATAATAAATAACAATGTCAAAAATACTCTCTGGCTTAAACATTTGTTTTGAAGATTAAAGACAGGACCTGACTCTATCGTTAGTGAAAGTCACACAAAATTCCATTCGTTAGGAGATCACAGCAGTATGAGTCCATAAAAAGAAAATACACTTTTGGACTCTTCATCTTGAGTACTTAATTTTTTTTAAGGATACTTGAATTACCGTGTCTTGAATATAGCAAAATCATTTTTGTATAATATGGGAAGCAGATTTGGTACTGTGCAAAAACATAGGATTTGAATTCAGGTTCTGTTTTTGCTACCTACTATGTAGATTTGGGGAAATTTATAATCTAAGTTTCCTCACCCATATAATGGAAATGATAGCGGTGCTGAATAAAATTGTTGCAAGTATTAAATGTCATTATGTGGGTAAAAATTCTCACCATTATACCTGATAGGTAGTGTAGTAAGGTAAGTAAGCTCCTACGTTTTAATTAACCCAGCATTTTTCAGTGTTGTTTACCAAGGACAGGTCCTCTCACACATCATCTTAAAACTTTGATGTGACTGTCCTATGGAAATCAGAATAGTTATAGGTACCCCAATATCAAGTTCTTCCTTGGCAGTGATTATATTTGAGAAATGTGCTGGTTTAACTGATGTTAGCTTTTAAAATAAGGTATATTTTTAATAATAAAGGAATTCATGGCTATTACTGAAGTTTTGTAAAATATAAAATAATAATGATTAATTACACTGAGGCTTATCATGCCCTCCCCCCAAAAAATTTGTAAGTTAAATTTTTAATTGAATATAAAACTTAAAAGATAAGGTGGAATGTACATTAAAAAGCTAATTACATGCACAATTCTCCAAGCTATCAATGTAGGGAAGTTATAGACTTTTCTCTTCATTTACGTGAGTTTTTAAGACATGAAACAAAATATGAACCTTCTAATGCATGTGAGCTCTTTTCATGTAGAACAATGATCAACAGAAAACAATTCAATCAAAAAATGGGCAGAAGACCAAAATAGCTTTTTTGCCAAACAATAAATACAGGCAGCCTATAGGCACATGAATAGATGCTCAATATCACTACTTATTAGACAAGTGAAAATCAAAACTATAATGAGATACCACTTCACATCAGTCAGACTGGCCATCATTAAAAAGTCTACAAATAACAAATGCTAGAGAGGATGTGGAGAAAAGGGAACCCTCCTACATTGTTGGTGGGAATCTAAGTTGGTACAGCCACCATGGAAAACAGCATGAGGGATCCTCAGAAAAACAAAAATAGAATTATCATATGATCCAGCAATTTCACTCCTGGGCACATATCCAAACAAAACTAATTCAAAAAGCTACATGCACCCCTATGCTCAAAGCAGCACTATCCACAATAGCCAAAACATGGAAACAACCGAAACGTTCATCAACAGATGAATGGAGAAACAAGATGTGGTACATATCAACGATGGAATACTACTCAGCCATTAAAAATATCCAAAGAAATAATGCCATTTGCAGCAACATAAATGTAACTAGAGATTATAATACCAAGTGAAGTCAGAAAGACACCTACCAAATGCTATCACTTCTGGATGGAATCTAAAATATGACACAAATGAACCTATCTATGAAACAAAAACAGATTCACAGACATAGAGAACTGACGTGGTTGTAAAAGGGAGGGTAGGAGAGGGAGGCTGGGGTTAGCAAATGCAAACTATTACATTTAGAAAGGAAAACAACTAGTCCTGCTGTATACAGCACAGGGAATTATATTCAGCATCCTGAAACAAACCATAATGGAAAAGAATGTCATATTTTTTAAAAGAATGTATATATATATATATATATAATTGAATCATTTTGCTGTACTGCAGAAATTAACACAACACTGTAAATCAACTATACTCCAATTTTAAATTTAATAATAATAATGAAAAGAACAATAAGTCATTCTGACACAATAAAATTTGTTCCAGCAATTCCTTTGGTAACTAATTTGACCTGCTGGGCAAGAGCAAGCTCTAGCACTGTAATAAGGTCACCTCTTGTGACTGTTGCTGCAGCTCAAAGAACTCACTGTACACAACAGGCCGAACAAACACCTGAAACCATAATCCGCTCTGTCAAGATAGGACTTCAGAGGAGGAAGAAATTTAGAGCTGTTTAGAGAATTTGCAGCAGGTACCTGAGGGCACGTGTTTCCACGTCTACTGAACTCGAGTGTGCTCCAACCAGTTCTCTCCCGTATCTTTTCCAATCCTGGTACTTAATCTTCCCGTATCATTGAAGACCAGGTGAAAGCCAGGGAGAGCTCTACATAGCCCGAGCATCAAAGCATATGGCGATTTCCATTGAAGTCAGCACGTGTTTTTTCTCAGTAGGACAGACACACCGGGGCAGAATTCCACAATGGATAACACCTGCACTCACCGCGCGCTTCTGCATTCTGTGCGCTCTTGGAGCCGTCCTGTGACTCCTGGGGTCCAGCGCCCAGAGAACAGAGACAGCGCTCCTTACGACTCACTGAACTGTGCAGAGCCACTGCCAGGCCAGGCCCAGCGCCCCCCTCCTTCTGTTTCCCGTGGGCGCCCAGAAACCCTTAAGGGCCTAAGTCAGTGTAACCTCATTAAAATCCACGGCGACAAAAACACACGGAGCCGCACTCCATGCCATCCTGCAAGAGGCGAAGGTTAAAGCACGAAGGGCAACCTCAAAAGGCCGCGCGGTCCACGTCTCTCCACGGGGTCAGACCTTCCGGGCTCGTCTGCCCACGCCACCCTCCGCAGCTACCTGGGCCCCAAGGTGAAGGCGCGAAACACGCTGCTCAGAAACTAAGGCAAGGCAGACTGAGCCCAGACTCCGCGAGGCCAGCCCTCGTCCACCGTCTACCTCCCCAGGGCTGCCGCCCTGGCCTGTTCCGGACCACTCGCAGGTCGGCCGCACCCGGGAGCCCCCTCGGCCCTGCCTGGCCCGACCCCAGCCCTGCAGCTCCTGGGTCCGCGCTGCACCAGACCACCCGTGTGGCTGCCCCGCAACCCTCCGGACCCGCGCAACCCTCACTCCAGCCTGCCCCTCTCACCTCCCCCAGCACCCCCCGCCGTCAGCACCGGGCCCGGCCACCCAACCTCCCAACACACCCAGCCGCCAGCACCCAGCCCCCAGCGCGTCCACTCACGGAGCAGCGGCAGGAGCATCGGTCAGCAGCCGCGGCGTGGCCGTCGAGGGCCTCCACGCGCATGTGCAGAGGTGGGCGGGGCCGGGAGCCGACCCGCCGCGGGAGGTCAGCTGGTCCAGGTGCTGCGCCCCACACAGGAAAGAAGAAGGAAAGCATCATTAACATGAAGTGCCTGGCTTGGCCGAATTTTTCTACCGCTTCTTGTTTATGCGTATGTTTTCTTTAGACCCATTCCACATATAAAACCTGGTGTGTAGCTTTTTCACTTAATATTTTAACAAATTGTTCTAAACTTCACAGATTTTGTCGGTAAAATGTTCTATTGTTTTCACTGAGTTACCACACCGGAATTTACCTAACCATTAATTGGTGATAATGGATTTATGCTTTTACCGAGTTATGATTCTTACAAACTAGTATTAAACTCTCCTAAAATTCTAAAAAAGTTCTCTTCCCCATATTTTGAATTACTTATTCACAATGAAATCTGAGATTTGGGATTAAAGTATCAGAGCTTTATTTACTAATTTATTTACTTATTCTACAGATGCTTATTCACTTTTATCTGGGTATCTGCTGAGTGTGATGCTACCGTTGAGAGCTAATTGGATTCAGCCGTGGATCCTGTCTTGGAGGATGTTCTATCAGGTTTTTAAGTCTACAGATATACAGAAACAAATTGGTTTGATTAAAAGTACAATCCAATTAGTGCTATAGATTATCTTAATTAAACTCCAAAAGCAGCTGTAGAAATATATAAAAAATATTGATAAAATATGGACACATACAATTATAGATACAGACTTACAGATACTGTACATAGACATACAAAAGTGAATCTGTGTGGGAGAGGAAGGTAGTATTATGATGGACATCTGGACATCTCATTTTTCTCCTGCTTTCAGTACTAACCTATTTATCTAACAGATGTAAATATCTGAATATTGCTGCCAGTTGTCTTGTGTAAATATTATTTTTGCATATATTTCCCAAAATAGAGACATCAAAGGCAATTCTCAAGTTTTTAATATATTTTAACTGATATTGTCAAATTGCTCCAGTATCATGTAGCTCTGAAGCAAAGTCCAACCTGCCTCCAGGTTGTCAAATTCTTAGGTCCGTTTACTTCTTAAAAATTCAATCAACAGCATTCCAACAAACTGCTTCCAGATGTTTCTCTCTCTTTCTGAATTCCCTCAAAGTAATGCCACCCCTAGCATCTTATTTCCACTATTGCCAAAGCAAATCAAAGTGGTTTCTCACTCCTTTAAACTCTCTGCAAGCCAGCTACCAAAACAACACTCCTGAAACTAATTCTGATCATTTAATCTTCTCAACTAGAAGCCTTTCATGACTTCCCACTAATCCCTGCCCCCCCACACACACCATGGTAGTGTGTGTGTGTGGAGGCGGGGGGGGGAATATCTGAAGACAATTTTTTCAAATCAGGCTTTTTTTTAACATTAATTCCTAATTTATTTTTAATCTACCTTTTCTCCAATTAGCTCATGTCCAATAACCAACAACAAATCATATTTCTTTCTCCTTCCTTTCCGTCAACTCCAGTTCTAGTTAATCTAAATCCCCAGCTCCCACACGCTTCACTTTTCTACCTCCTTCCTTGATTCATTCTGTCTAGTTGATCTAGAAAGCCTAATGATGCCAACATAATGATAATAGTTATCAAGTACCTGCTTTGTGCTGGGGACTGAATGCATGTTTTCAAAGGTAATCTCATGTGCTTTAATCATCACAGCCTCTATTTCACCTAGGAGACAACTGTGGTGACTTGTCCAGATTCACACAATTTGCATAAATAAATTTATGTTCTCTTAAACCCCAAACTTCTTATTCTTTCAACTTCAATATGTTTCATCACCCCAATATTTTTTTTTCTGGTAGCACTATATGGCTTGCAGTACCTTAGTTCCCCAACCAGGGATCAAACCTGGGCCTCTGGCAGAGAGAACCCTGAATCCCAACTACTGGACTACCAGGGAATTCCCAACTGCTTGTTTTTTAATCACATGTGCTATCGTGCTTAGTGTCTGAGAACCCTTAGACTGTAGCCTGCCAAGCTCATCTGTCATGGGATTTTTTGGGCAACAATACTGGAATGGGTTGCCATTTCCTCCTCTAGGAGATCTTCTGAACCCAGAAATCGAACCTGTGTTTCCTGTGTGTCCCACATTGCAGGTGGATTCTTTACCAGCTGAGCTATAGGGTAAGCCCCTTTTCATCACAGTTATCACCAAATTCATGAAGCCCCTTCCATCATTTCAGTTAGCAGTGATTTCTCACTCTTCCAAGTTTGTGTAAATCTTATTCTGTATTTCTAGCTCATCACTGATTATGTTTCCTCTTCATTTATTTAGGTAATATGTCTTTGTTCACTTTTTTTATCCATTTAATATTTTAAGTTTGGGCCTAGTAAATGACAAGTACTTTTCTAGATATCTTGTCTATGTACTGTGCTTAGTCGCTCAGTCATGTCCAACTCGTTGCAACCCCATGACTGCAGCCTGCCAGGCCCCTCTGTCCATGGGATTCTCCAGGCAAGAATATTGGACTGGGTTGCCATGCCCTCCTCCAGGGGATCTTCCCAACCCAGAGATTGAACCCAGCTCTTCTGCATTGCAAGTGGATTTTTTATTGTCTGAGCCAGCAGGGAAGCCCAATTTGCCTATAAAACAAAGTAAACATGTTTTGAAAGTAAATATTTTTCCTTTCAAAAAACACACAACCTACTTAACGTTAAATAAACTCAAAATATATTCTTATACATTTTCACTAGTTCTGTGAGGCAAAAACAGGGAGTATAGGAGACAATAAATAAAGAAAAATCATATTGTGTATGTGGGCAGAGTGGAGGAGGTGAAAATAATTCATTTGGCCTTGGTGAGGAAGTATTAATAAACTGTCAGCCAAGACATCAAGATGTAAAGAAATTAGTCAAGTGAAAAATAAGAGTGTGAAGGAACAACATTCTAAGCAGAAGGAAAAGCATAGGCAAATGTTGTGATGCAGAAAAAAAGACAGTTTTCCAAGAATTAAAAGAAGGTCATTCAAGGATGTGGTGTAAAGCGGTGCAGTTGTCAGTGCAAATGGAGCCCCATAGGGTTTTGCCGTGGTGCCCTGAAGTCAAAATGTCTTGAGTGAACCAATGGACTGGAAAAGTAGAATGGCATCTGTGTGGAAAGGAAGGCAGAGCCAGATCATTCATCAGTCTGCTAGAACATTCACATCTCCTTTAAGTGTAAAGGGAAGTCTCTTACAAGATTTAACCAGCAGTTGCTGTAATCCAATTTCAGATGTTTATTCATTCTCCTAGAAGGAAAGACTGTAGGTTGATACATCTTTGCATATCTTTTATCTTTAATATATTTTTAACTCCACAGTGCCTAATATAATTCTTTGAGGATATCTTGTTTTTAAATGCTTCTTTTCTAGGATAAAATTGTTAGGGGAAGCACTGACCAAAACCTCCCAATAGTAACGATTTGCATGAGTTAATCTTACAACAGAAAGTCCTACTGAGGAATGCAGAACTAACAAGCTACCACAACTGGCAGAATCTGGGAAAGATCAAAAGGAGAAGAGACTTCAACCCATAATCCTACCCTCCCAGAATGCACCTGCCTGGAATCCATCTTGGCTGAGTGATGCACACACCACTAGGAATGATCCTGAGTCAGAATGACTGGCCAGAAACGACCTGGAAACTAACCACATCACCGTAAAACTGGAGACTGCAGGCTGTGTGGCAGTTCTCCTGGATCCACTTACCCTGTTGCTCTCCACCCAGGCACCCCTTCCCATTAAAGTTTCTTGTTTTGTCAGAAGGAGACATGGGTCTCCTTGGACAGTTCATTTCTGAGTGTTAGACAACAGCCCCCTCTTGAGCCCTGGAAGACCGTCTCCCTTCCTGCAAAAGAGTGAGTGAGTGTTTCTATCTTCCGCAACATGTATGCGTTGTCATCATAACCAAGCTCTTTTCTTACATCCCTACACCAACTTCCACTGGAGAATGCGAATAAAATTCTGCACCTTTTTTCCCCCCAGGTAGTATGTCTTTAATCATTTTTAATCAAGTTTGAACCTTCCCAAATAGCTGACTTGAGCTCATGGTATTGTTGTCAGCTAGAAATGACCATGAACTATAGACATTGGGTGCAATGATGGCTTTGACAGTCTAAGTATAAAAGAACTGTCAAGCTTGTCACTCTAAGGCTACAGGTTATAGAAAATTCAAAAATAAAGTTTGGTGTTCCCTTTGAATCAATTTGTCACCACCTCTGCTAATCCCATTTCCAAAAGGGCTTACTTTCTAACAGATTACATATCATAGCCCTTGACCTTTCTGAGTGGACTCAATAAAATTGAATTTAGCAAGTTAGAGACTGTATGGTTCTTTCCCGGTGGAAATCCATGGGTGGATGCAGTAAATTTACTAGACTGGGGAGGGAAAGTCACTTATATTGCATAAACCAGTGCCAATCAGTTAGTAATAGCTGTATGGAGAAAGATTTGGAGACCACATTTGGGCTGGGGAAGAGATTATTAATATCTGCTACATGTTCAGAAGGAAGAAATGGCATTTGGACACATGGTTATTTCTGCCCAAGTTCATTTAGAATAGCCAGGGCAAGAGAATTTAATCAAAATACAAAACAGGAGATTTAAAACAAGATTTTTAAAGAATGGTAAAATCATATCCAATATAAAAAGGCTTGTGAAATTAAAAATATTATACAAAGTGTTAGTAAGTTGGTAATAAAAATGACCTTGAAATAAATGTGGGTAATAAGCCCAAGCAGTTCTTGAATTATTTTAATAGTCTGTTTTATTTAGCTTACTTACTGAATTGTTCTTTGAATTTCTCATCAATGTTACATTGATTTTCTTGGATTTTCACATTGAGAATCTGCAGGTAATTATAACAAATTTCATCACAACTTCCAAACACCTAAATATCTTTTTCTTATTGCACTGACTAGAAGTTCTTAAAAAATAAAAACAATGAAAGAGTAAGTGCATTTTTTTTCTGTTCTTACCTTTAATGGAATTATCTTAGTACTTTACCATTGAGAGTCAGAGATTACAATTGTGTTATTTTTTTAAATTAAAATAGAATTTACATTTTATAAATAATTTTTTGACATTAATT